ATAAAGCCAAGCATGCCTCTGGGAGGAGTTTGGTGAGGCCATGCGAACAAGACTATGGATGCATCTCAAAGCGATTTTAGCAGAATGTCTATTGCCTCAGGATAAGGAAGTAGTGCTTCTAACAATATTTACAGTAGGAGTGTGGAGCTGCTGACCTAGACTGAGAAAATATTTTGAGTATCTCTTCAACTCTGACATGACTGCACTTGTAGAAGAAGAGATTGGATGCTCAGAACCAGACTTGTTAATCACCTCTGAGTCACTGAGGTGGTCAAAAGATTTCACATTGGTAAAACCTCCAGCCTCCCTTAGAACTTAAATTATAGAGGTAGCACACTTCTCAACCTTCCCCGGAGGGGCTATGCCAGAGTGCAGGAGAGGAGAGAGTCAAACCTCAGTTTTCAGAGAGTGTGGTTCTGTTGGCCCCATCCAGATAAGACTTACAGCATGTTAAGTGTGAGGCAGAGATGTAGATCAGCTCATTCAAGTTCAAGACCATGATTCTTTATCTTAGATTAGAGAGGAGTTTCTACGTCAAGCGGACCAATTCATGTACTTCAGGTCCTGTTCTTGAGTGAGGGAAGAATGGGCAGGAGACTGACAGGTGGATCACTGTGGCTACTGCAGTTATGCAGACAAGATTGGGTTGATTTAAAAAAAATCAACCCAATCAACTCAATACCATTTCAAAAATAAAAATATATAAATCTGTATAAGGATTTTTAAAATGCATTCTTCTAAGCAATGCATTCTTCTTTTGAACACAGTAACTGTAAATATGAATGTTTCCTTTGGTTTAGATTAACATTTATTATATTTTCTGTTCAGTTTAATTCAAAAATACTTAATTGATCTGATCCCAAATGGAAAATAACTGTTGTAACTCTTTTTTTTTTCTTTCTTTTTTTTATTCTATATTTAACTTTTGCATTAAGCTAAAAAATCTGCAATTGTAGCCATTTTAGTCAGGGAAACAAAAGCTATACGCAAAGACAATACAGATATGAGATATTTAGTCCTTAACAAAAAATCTGAAAAAGTTATAGTTGAATAATGATAAAACATAAGCATTAAGAACAATTTGAAAATTGCTGTCATCCTTGAACAGGTGCATGACAAATAATGTAAATAGTAGTCAAATAAACTAGACCATTCCCATGCAGTTTAAATATGATTGCATTATCAGTTTTTTTTAGATATTCTCAAAATAAGCCTCAGTCCAAAGCTAAATACAGTGTGACAGCACAGGGTTGTTCACATATTTAAAAAGTACTTTATACATTGATATGTATAGGGCTCCGGTGTGTGTTTATTTTGTTTGTAAATGACAAATTAATAAAAACAATTTTGAGCATAATTTCATTCAGGTTTATACTACTTCTAACCAACATCTTGTGGATAGACAAATTATGTTACCTTCTGTTCACTTGTTTTTTGACTAAAAGAAAAGAAAAAAAAAGCTAGTTAAACTGTCTGACAAGGCTTCTTATGAGTATTCATGCTGCTTGGTTTCACCTTAAATGCTTCAGAGGCAGATTTTCAGCAGTGGGCTCTATGCACAGCTCCACTACTTCCTGAATTTAAGGCAGCTCCTTTGTTTCCTGTCTGTCATTACTGGACGAACTGATTAATCCAGGTGTGTCTGGCCAGTTACTTAGGTACACACCTGGATTAATCAGTGCATCCAATCATGAAAGACAGGAAACAAAGGAGCTGCCTTAAATTCAGGAAGTAGTGGAGCTGTGCATAGAGCCTGTTAAGGTTGTCAGGAGCGGTCGGTCTGTGACGTCAGACTGCTCATTGTGCACCGGGCGTGGAAGCTGTCTATGGTGCTGAAACTTCATCCCGGTCTGCAATTGGAAGGTCCGTCGGCTCTAGGCAAAGGACAGATTAACTAAACCTTATAAACATACACTGGAGTAACTTTTTAACAACTTTAAAAGTTTTTATTGTTTGTCGGGGAAAAAACGCAAACTTTTCCTTCTCACCATCATGGACCTGCTTCCAGCCCAAGAAGCCGCTAAAATCTACCACACCAACTATGTGAGGAACTCCCGGGCCATCGGCGTCATGTGGGCCGTGTTCACCATCTGCTTCGCCATCATCACCGTAGTGGTCTTCATCCAGCCCTTCTGGATCGGGGATAGCGTCAACACGCCGCAGGCCGGATACTTCGGCCTTTTCCACTACTGCATCGGCAACGCGCTTACCTCTGAGCTCATCTGTAAAGGCAGCATCTTCGACTTCAACTCCATCCCTTCCCCAGCCTTCAGGACTGCCATGTTCTTCGTGGGAACCTCCATGCTGTTGGTGGTGGGCACGATGGTGGCCTTCAGTCTGTTCTTCTTCTGCAACGCAGGAAACGTTTACAAGATCTGTGCATGGATGCAGCTGGCCTCAGGTCAGACTCTTTCATCCTTACTGCCTTGTTGATTTTAGTAAACAGAACTGCAGGGGATAATAGTTTAAAAAACTGGATTATAGATAAATTTGGCCTTTACAAAAGGGAGTGTTTGTTAAGAAAATGCAAAATTAGGAGTAAAAATTCATGGTCCAATTTTATTGTTTCTGTAAACTACTATTTAAAATCATTAGGTTTATTAGAAGCATGTCCTCGTTTTCTGTCTCAAATTACATTTTAGCTTATTTGATGACTTTATTTTTTACCTTTTGTCATCATTGTTTGTTTTTGTTATTAGGACCTCAACCTTTTCAGTGGCTTTCTCTCCTATTTCTTAAAAAAAAAAAGCCTATTATACAACCCCATTCATTTCTTACTGTCTATCTTGCTGCCATGGTGATTCAGTAGAGAAATATTATGTGATCTTTGTATCAGAGTAGGAAGACAGAGACACGGGAGGTACCAATCATTCAGTCTTCTCTTTGTATTTCGAACCAGTACCCTCGAACTGGACCTAGATGGAGAAAAAAGGGTCCAACAAAATATTTTGAACACAGAAAAAAGCATATTTTGTTAGATTTTTTATGTTTAGACATTATTCTTTTGAATGAAGCCGTAAACTTTTGTTGCAGTTTAAAATACAGGTTAAAATAAAGGGGTGTTTCTTTTTATTTTGTTTCATATTTTTGTTGGTAGCTTTAACCATTTCATAAAGATAAGAAATACAGATTCCAGTGTTATTCTTTTGGACACCTTTCTTTTTCGCTTCATCTGTAAAATGTTCATATTTTTAAGCTTGTGTTGCACAAGAATTTGTTGTCAGGTACAAATGTTTACCAGAAGCTGCTTTTAAAAAAAATACATAAATAAATAGCAGGAAAAGCCAAAACAACAGAACATCATCCAGAGTTTAACGTCACACCCCGGTGCTTTCCGCTAGAGATGCTGAAGTCTTTGTATCATCAGCCAGCATCACACCTCTCCAGTTTCAAGTGTGAGATGGGTGTTCATGTGTTAGTCTTCTCTGAAACTCAGCGGGGTTTCTGGTGTCAGAACACACTCTGACACCTCTAAAGGAGGATTTGGTTGCATGTAACAGGATAAGGTGTTGGTGAGCCGTTAACTGATCCTAAACTACACAACAAGCAGACCTGAGTGTAGAAAATCTGCCATTTAAAATATAACCTTTTATAAAAGCTGCATAAATGCAGAAACTAAATGCACATGAACATTTACAGCAGGATCAATAAATGTTTTTATAAGACTAGACTATTTATTTACGAAATTTAAAACTGAACTGACAAACTTTCTGAATCCCTCATTTAGCCGTGTTAATGGTGATGGGCTGCATGATCTACCCTGACGGCTGGAATGCAGAGGAAGTAAAGAGGATGTGTGGCCAGAAAACGGATAAATACGCTCTGGGAAACTGCACTGTGCGCTGGGCCTACATCTTAGCCATCATCAGTATTCTGGACGCCGCTCTCCTGGCTCTTCTGTCCTTCACTCTTGGTAATCGGCAGGACAAACTGTTGCCGGATGACTTTGAGATTGAGGGAGCAGGTAAGGGTTGTGAAAAAGTTTTAATGCATAACTGCATTTAAAAAGATATTAAATCAGTTCATTATCAGTCAGTTGCTAATATTCGTTAATTTTAAGGCCGTGATCCATAAAGAACATACATTACCTTGGCCTTGAATATTTAAATTCAACATGTTATTTAAATATAATTCATATAGTGTGAGTGTACATCATTTTCCAGTGCTAACTCATTTCCTGCAAATATGTTTAGAAGTCTGTTTAGAACCTTTAGATCAGCTCAAATCAATTATAAATATAAACTGAACAGAGAAGTTAGTGTTTAAGAAACTGTTTTTTTCCTCTTGGCATTTGCAAAGAAAAGTAATCTCATGAGGAACAAATTTGTTACATCCTGGGCATACACAGGATTCACAGATGTCTTGAAGCAGAATTCAATTCTAGGAAGAGCCAACTGAAAATTTCAGGGTAAAAAAGCAAACTTGTTTGGAACCGAAAGATTTTACACACTGCTTATTCCATTCGATGCTGGGATAAAAGCTAAAATGGAGAGAATATAATTTTCAGCAGACAAGCCGATAACCATTACAAAAGCACCTCTGATAACTGATCATGTTTAAGAACAACACTTGTAAAAAAATATATATATATATATACCATATATAATTTATATTGTAGTTTTTCTCTACATGGTAGACTGACTAATTTAGGAAGACAAAAATATTTGACTTATATTGCCTTATACTGCATGAAGGGTAGTGTGGTAGCACATCATGTAGTTTAAACTTTTCCTTTTCTTACATCTCTCCTTTAAACTCTCTTCACACTCACATCATAGCCTAAATTAAACTTGGATGCAATACAGTTTACTGGCTACTGACCTGTTCAGGGTGCACCATCTGACTGCTGGAGAATGAACAATTGTTACTTTCACGTTTGAATTTTTTCCTGCTGTTAAAGCATAATTTAAAAGTCAAATAACAGACAATAAAGGCTTCTTTTCTTTTCCAGAAAACTCATGAACACATGGATAGCCATGAAAGAAGATATCCTGAATCAAGAAGTAAAACCTTTTCACTTCAAAAGCAGTAGTGCTATTCATCCACTATGTTCATCCTCTAACCAAATAAACACATAAACAGTCATTGTGTACTGCATGAAGATCTGTTTTTATTGAATGGTGTGTTGTACAGGTTTGTCTTTAACAACTCACACAAAGTCTATGCTTTTGAATGTGACACTAATGTAAATTGTATGTCGTTTTTGTTTTTTAACCTTAAGGTCTCAGCAGATAACATAGCTTACTTTGATATGATTGGTTTGCTACACCACCACATAACATCAGATCTTACCGACTCTATAGTTAAAAACATGTACATTACTTAATTGGCCATACATACAACCAAGCTCAAACATCTCCCATACACTTTATTAAAACACAGCTACCCAGCTAAATCAATTTAGCTAAGATAAAAGATTTGTTAAAAACTGTACATAACTGTAATATACATAAAGGCAAACTCTTTGGTACAGATATATACAGTTTATTTTCCTCTTCCCCTCCTATTTTGAGCTGGTCTTTAACATTTTCTCTCATTGAAACCTTTTAAACACTAAACCTGAATTGAAAATGGTGTACGAGAATACCAGCCTCCCATGAGAACAAAACCATCTCATTTTTTATTCACTGCCTTCCCAATACCAGGTGACATTAAGTTAGTTATAGCCAAATATGCACAACTTAATGAGTGCCCAAAATACTCTAGAGAGCTTCAGAAATGACATGAATGTTACCGCAGTCAGTGTAAATGTCAGCCTAGTGTGCAACTTTCTCAACCTACTTTACAAATAAGAATCCCTACACATGAGTTATAAGGTAAAATAATTCATTTTTAAAAAGGAACACAGCACTAATGACAATGAATGAGAAAAATAAGTCCTTTTTTAAAGAACAAAAAAGGCTACATATCCTTGATTTGTTTTGAGTTTTAGTGCAGGAGTGTAACAAACAAGGAGGCTTCACTAGCAGAACAAAGACAGTTTTGCTCCTGGTTGGATGGGTTGAACAGCACAGCAGCTGGAGCAGACATCAAATTATAAATCCAAATGGCTTCCCGACGTCACACGGAGAGGAGAACGAACAAATACAAAGCAAACATACACAGAAGCAACAGCTTGACAAAAACATAAGAAATGCAAAACATTGCAACAAAAAGAGAAATAAATATTCATCTGATATGCCCAAAGTGGAAAGTGATCTGTTGCAGTCTCTTAAGGAAGTGGGAAGGGAAGGAAAGGGAGGTGCAACGCCTGAACATGTCCACTAGAGGGCGAGCCAGGGGTGGCGCAAGCACTCTGCAGCAGTGGCTCTTTTCTCTGGGACCAGCTCCAGCATGGGAAGTAGGAAGTCAGAGAAGCACTCTGCTTCCTCACGGGGCCATTCATATTTCTCAACCAACACCTCCAGCAGGCCCCACGGCTTCAGCTTGGTGATGTGTTTCAAATCACCTGCAGATAAACCACAAAAACAATCCATCACCACAGGGCTGTGATGTCACTACAAAAAAAACAAACAAAAAAAAAAAAAAATGAGAAAGACAGTTGCAAAGCTTTGAAAAAACTATTTATACCCTTTGAACTTACATTTTCTTAAAATCTAAAACTAACAAATTAAACTATTAGGATTTAAGAATTGACTTTATTTATAGTCAACAAAATGCAGCACATAGTTTAGAATTAGAGGGGGAAAAAAATGACAGTTTTATACAGCAAGCAGTGCATTATACAGAGATTTTTCCTGTATAAGGATGACATCTACCAGCTGCAGATATGAGGCAGGCTTTTTGCAGCAGCCTATTCATGGACTCAGGCACGTATCCCATTCATTTATGGAGAGTCTGCACCAGACATCCACAAAGTTGGTCCTGGAGGGCCGCTGTCCTGCAGGTTTTAGAGGTTTCCCTGCTCCAGCACAGCTGATTTACATTGATAGTTGATTAACAGGCTTTTGCTAAACTGCAATCACCAGAAACAGCAGTTCTAAAGCAGAGAAACCTCTAAAACCTGCAGGACAGCGGCCCTAAAGGCCCGACTTTGGGGATGCCTGGTCCACACCTAGGAGATGCCATTCTCATACAGGAGAGTTTGGAAGTTCCATTCATAATGTAAAACCTCAATGTTAGAGGACTTCTGGGAATTTTTTGTGATAGTTATCTGACTTTGTAATTTCAGAACACCTCTGACTTCTCAATGTTATTAGTAAATACACTATTGTATGTTCTAGTTTTGTTGACATTATCCTTTTATACCCGTACACGTTTTCTGCCGTTTCCTTTCCTAAGTCAATGCAATAAAATCCCATTGAGACACTGTATGCATTTTCTTATCAAACCTGAATGAAATTATGTCAAACCTTAACGCATAGGTTGAAGAATGACTATGAATGACTCAGATGTCTTTTAAACATCAAAAAGCATTATAAAGACCAATGGAGACAGCTTTACACTCCGGGATACACTTGTAAAGATGTTTAAAGCAGGATAAGGTTATAAACAATATCCCAAGACGCACACAGTTTACAGCACATTGTGCAATCCAACAAGACATGACATTCCACCTAAAAGACAGGCTGCACATGTCATAGAGAACCAATCAATAAAGAGGCTATTATCAACTCTGGAGGAGCTGCAAAGAAGCCTAACTCGAATGAATTAATCTGTCGACAGCCCAGCTACAAATCTGCCCTTTAAGGAAGAGTTACAGACTTATGTTTACATTTGATCACCATGTTTACTTTTTATCACTGCTTCACTTTAGAAATGGAAATGTCTTTTAAAGTGGTACTGAACAAAATGTCGCTTTGTATACGCTGCGTGTAAAAAATGATAAAGTCTAAGTCTAAGATAAAAGAGCACTGCTCAGATGAGACCAAAACTAAACTTTACACCAATGTGCAAAACTCCACACTTCCCATCACCCTAAAGACACCATCATAGGTGTGACTAATTTGCCTCATTTTCCACAGTTAATTTATCTATTCAGGTCAATCAGCTCAATTCGGATCGATTCGCTTTCCTTTATGATGCGGTAATATCTCAATTGGGCGCGATCTTTGATAGCAAGGCAGCTCTTTACTTCGATTCAGCATTAAACAACACTACCTAATGCTAGCTTATAATAGTGCTGATATACTCAATAAGCCCAGCATAAAATGATTTCCTTGTTTAAAATATTAGTTATTAAAAAAAAAAGCTGTGAAAGATGAGCCCAGTCCCTAACCAATCAGTGTTCGACATTCCTCTGATGCTGCGTTTTCACTGCGACTTGGAACAATTGGAAACCCAGGCAAGCAGGCTCTAAAAATATGAATTGATCCACATAACTATTAGAGGTTGACGGATAGAGTTTTTTTTAAGACATAAATCTAACCAATCACCTTTATGTCCTGCTAAATTTATGGGGAGGCTAATTCTTTAGGCTGATATTGTCTTCTTTCACCATTTACATAACAAAAATTACTGTGATAATCATTGTTAGATAATTCATAATTAAAACAAAGAAAACTGGAAAAACTAAACATTATCGATGAATAGCAAATGAATGGAGCAGCAATGCATATGTTTAACATGATATCAAGGCATGGCCTTGAAAGATCAGTAAATGCATGCTCGTATTGGCAAATACAGATGCGCAAAAAAAAAAAAAAAACACAAACTTCGACCAAAAATATCGACTGGCTAATGCATCCGTCCACCTCTAGTAATGGTTCCTAATGGAAACTTCGAAAGGAATTAATCCGCAGTAATTTGCTCTAAGTTGTTACAAGTTGAAAAGGGGAAAATGTGTTTGGAGTATCCTGTAGTTGGGAAGCTTTTCTGCAGCAGAGACAAATAGCTGGTTGGATTAGATGGAAATATGTGTGGAGTGAAGACTGTTAGGATTTTTTTATTGATGATGAGCAAGTGTGTCAAACCCTGATAATACCTGCCGCCTATTACATGTCAAAACTAATGCTTTCCCAAGCAGTTTCCATCTAATTGGAACAGTTAGGATAAAAAGTCAACTTCATTATGCAGGTGGCAAAGATCTGGGAATGGAATGAGAAAAGTGTCCTTGATCTAAGAACAAAGTGGAATATTTTGATAAAGCTGGAGCCATGGATGTCTCCTCATCTGCAAACATGTATTAAGCATTGATGTGATGTGGCATACTAGAGATGTATTTAACTTTGATTCGGGACCACTCCAACGAAAGGTAAGCAGCGCTTAGCAATTTCTCTGATCTGAGTAGGATACAATTTCTGTCAAAATCTGTTGTGTGGTTATTTAATACGTATACATTATGAAGCGTCATTTAAACAGTTTGTCCCGATTGATCTCTTCCCAGGAAAAGAACCGGAGAGGGAAAGCTTTAATGTGTAAACAAAGAGCTTTCCTTAACAAGGGCAATTCCTGAATGAATACCTGTTAGAGGCAGCTAAACACTTGAGGCTGGGAGGAAAGACAGGGTCAAAGAGGACAATAAGCCCAAGCATACAGCACAGCTCACCCCGTAGATACATGTGTACAATGCAACTGGACTATTAACGAGTTGGTTTTTGACCAACACCAAATAATATAGTCTTATGGTCAGATATTACAATTAGTATCCAGTGTTGGATTATAACCTGATGTCCTTAAAACATCCTGTGGTAAATTTTTCCAAGGCGCTGCACCTGTCAATTTTTCCCATATTATGATGATAATTACCATTTACTGTTTAACCAATTCCAAACATCATGTATGAATATAAATAAGGCTGCAGTGTGAACAGACGTTTGGTATTTTACAATAAAATAAATTAAATCTTGATGCTTTCATTTTACCTTTCTTGGTGAAAAAATCCTTGGAATATTTGCCGGTCATTATGAGTTTGCGGGGGACACTCCCCAGCAGCTCAATGATCAGTGCTATATGGTCTAAACAGCAGAGGGTAGCAAAAAGGAAGAAAACACACAACATAATCAGAGCGTGTCTCAGTCAGGCCCACTCTGGGTAGGTGGTTGGAGGGTTGAAGGAGGGGGGCTGACAGCACATCTGAGTTGAGGGTCAGAAATTGATGCAACTGCCAGTCGTCTCCACTATTTTCTGCTGCTCAGAGAAAAAAGAAATGCCTATAATTTCCAATTCTTTTTCTTATGAGACAAATCGGTTTTCAATTGGTCTATCACATTCAGATCTGGAACAAACTGTCTGGGGTAATTTGTTTAGACTCTTAATAAAGGTGCACCGACTGCTGTTTTTTTAGGTCAGTCTTCAATATAAAAAAAAAAAAAAAATACCCTGACCTGCGAATTCTAATTTTACATCACAGTATACTTTCATTTTAATTTGTGGTATAAATTACCCAGCCCTACATGAGTATCGGCCAATCACCTGAACACAAGGATAATGGGCCTGATCGATTGGGGTAATCCTAGTCCTGAAAATACCAAAACCCTTTTGAGGTTAGTTTCCCTCAGGAAAACACATGAACCATGCCAGCGTACCAGCATTTCTACTAGAGAAATAATATACTTCGAATAAATACAGTTTATCAGATTTATTATTTCAGGTTAACTCACTAACTCAAGTCAGATCCAAACATGAAGTTTAGGAACATTTATTTGCACTAGTTTAGCAGTCTAAATGAGGGGATGTTTTCTGTGCCCTGTTAAAACATTACTTGTCATGTTTTACTGACTGCTGATAAGTGTTGATTAATAAGTACATCCCAACAGAACCCATGTGAGGAACCAACATTAAACTGCTTACTTTGGTCAGCCTGTTATTTATGATGTTTGTTTTGTTTTTTTTTTATAGTAAAATAGACCTAATAAAATCTTATGACATTTTATTAGAAATGTGTCATCTTGCAAGACAAATGTGTTGTCTCCTGAAAATACATCTTGCAAGGAGTCAGCTGCAATGAAGTGCAGTGACGTTTATTACGTCAACGTGTCCACCAGAGGTGGAAGGCTGAAGCAAAATAAACATGGCTGCACTGGTTTTAGCTGGAATACCCTATATTTCTTTCTGAAAAAAAAAAGAGCAAAAGGATGGGAATTTTGCCTTTGTGACTCGTTCCTCCCGACCTGATTTGGTAGGAATTTAAAAAACCCCGCTAGTTGTGAAACAAATTAAGCTCCTATGTTTTCTCCTTTTAATGTATTTTTTTATATTTTCCACATGTAAGGGTGCTGTCAGGACCTTTCTCCTTTCATCCTCATTTCCACATTTCCCAGAGTGAGCCATAGACAGAGGGGTGGCGTACCTCTCTTGGTGAAGTATTCCTGCGAGTATTTCCCACTCAGAGCATAATGGCGAGGGATTTTACCAAGCAACTCTATCATGAGAGCAAGGTGGTCTGGAAATGAGGCACGGAGAGGAGAGGAGAGGAGAGGAGAGGAGAGGAG